CTCTCTCTCACTCTCTCTTTAAAAAAAAAAAAAGAGTGAAAGCATGTGGGGGTCAGCACAGTGGGTCCATTTTATAGAATGAACTCCATATTCCCACAGCTCATGCCTCTCTGTCTCTTTAAAAAAAAAAAAAAATTAAATACTACCTTTCTTTCACTTTCTGTATTATCTGCTTCTGGAACTCTTATGTGATAAATATAAATATTGGATCTTCTTCCTTAACTATGAATGCTCTAACCTCTTTTTTCCCCCAGCTTCCTTGTTTCTCTATTCTGTATTCTGGGTAATTATTTCAAACCTGTTCCAGATTTCTCTTTAGCTCTTTCTAACCAGCTATTTAATCTTTTACATTAAATTATTTTCTCTACTTTTTAATCAACTTTAAGACAAAAGGTGAAAAGTAAGTTATACATCTTGACTGCAAAATTTCATGGGTCTTGACAGCTGGCACACCTGGTAAATATCCAATGCTAAGAAATCACTAATCTATTTTCCATTGTTTTTGAAGTAACACCTAAATCTGTCTCAGTGGTAGAGTGCATGCAAGGCCCTGGGTTCAAGCCCTAGCGCACATACAACACACACACAAACCTTTTACAACCCAAGGTCATAAAGATTTTTTTCCTGTGCCTTCTTCCAGATGTTTTGGCTGTTTTAGATCTACAATATATTTAGGTCTACCACACATTTTGAGTTGTTTGTGGATGGTCTGAGGTACCCATCTAGATTTTCTCATATGGAGATCAAATTATTCCAAAGGTATTGGCTGAAAAAGTTGTCTTTTCCCTATGGAATCACCTTGCTACATTTTGCCAAAAATCAACTGCCCATAAAGGGAAAGGTTTCTTTCTGGACCCTATATTCTGCTCATCTGTTTGTCCTTATGCCAATATCATTCTTTCTTGATTACTGCCATTTTATATGAAGCTCTAAAATCGAGCATTTTAAATACTTTATTTTTTTCAAAGGTGTTTTGGCTATTCTAGTCAATTTGCATTTCAATATAAATTTTAGACTCTCTTTCATTTCTACAAAATCACCTGTTGGAATACTGATAAGGGTCGCATTGAATTTATAGATCAATTTGGACAGAACTGCCACCATAGTGAGCCCAATCCAGCCTGTGCCTGTTTCTGTAAATAAAGTTTTATTGGAATCTGGTACACCTATTCATTAGTGTATTGTCTATTGCTGTTTTCATGCTAAAACAACAGAGTTGAGTAGTTACCACAGAGCACATGATCAGTGAAACCTAAAATATTCACTATCTTGTCCTTCCCCAAGTCAACTACTGATCTTAACCATGTTGTTTTGCAATTAATGAACACAGTATATCTCCTTTTATTTAAATTTCCTACAACTTCTGTCAGCAATGTTTTKCATCTTTCAGTATACAGATCCTGAACCAGGTTAAATTTATTCCTAAGTATTTTATTCATGTTAAGTGTGACTGTTGCCAATGCAACTGATCTTTTTATTTCCTTCTTTTTTGGGGTACCAGGGATTGAACTCAGAGACACTCAACCACTGAGCCACATCCCCAGCCCTATTTTGTATTTTAGAGACAGGGTCTCACTGAATTGCTAAGCACCTCGCTGTTGCTGAAGCTGGCTTTGAACTCGAGATCCTCCAGGCCTCAGCCTCCCAAACCACTGGGATTATGGGGTGCATGTTCTTCTTTTTCTTTATGACATTGTCTTGAACTTCTCCAACTTCTGGACTCAAGTGATCCTTCCACCTCAGCCTCCCAGTGCTGTGATCATAAGTGCACACCCAACTTTGTATACTGATCTTATATCAAGCAATTTTGCTAAACTTGCTTATTAATTCTAATTATCTTATTGCTTTCTGCCTTTATTTTTACTCTCTCCCTCTTTCTATTTTTGTCCTCCCTAGCTTCCTAAGTTGGTGTTTAGGTCCATGCTTTTAGACTCATTTTCTTTTCTCATGTGAGAATTATAAGTTGCACACTTATCTCCAAACTCTGCCTTACCTATACTCCACAGATTTTGAGAAATTGCATTCTCATTATTTTTTGTTCACAATATTTTCTAAGTGGTTTCGTATTTGAACCACAGTATAAATATTCTGTGTAATTTAGAAATATTAGGAGATAGATATTCCTAGATATCTTAGTGTTATTGATTTATAATATATTTGAGGTCAAAGATTATAGTCTATGTGATTTCAATCCTAATAAATTTATTTAGATTTCATTAACACCCCAATTTATGGTCTCTCCTGGGAACACACCATGTGCCTCTTGAAGAGTGCATATTCTGGAGAAGTTAAAGCAGCATTCTATAAATATTAAGCAATGTTCTTCAGACCAGATCTTTTATGTCTCTACTTGTCTTGCTGTTGTTATTTTAGCCTAGTTCTATTAATTGACAAGAGGACCATTTTAATAATATCTTATCCTGACTGTAGAATTGCATATTTCTTCAGTTCTGTCAACGTGTGCTAATACATACATACATATGTTAAATATAAAATGACCTTTTTTATTATTATAAATGTGCCTGTCTTAAAGTCTTTTTATTTTTTAATCTGGAATTAGCAGTTACTCGTGCCTTTTTATGCTTATTATTTGTTCAGTACATTTTTTTTCATCCATTTTCAAACTATCTGTTTCTATTCAAAACACATCTCTTATACACAGAACACATCTGGATCTTCTATTTTTCTTTAATTCATTCTGACAATTTCTGCCTTTTAATTGGAGTGCTTGACTCACCAATATTAAAATATGTATTGTTATAGCTGGACTTTAGTTAAGCATTTAATTATTTTGTTTATTCCCTGTTTTTATTGCTGTTTCTTCTTTCTTGCCTTCTTCTGGATTAAATATTTTTTAGAATTCCAGTTTAACTTTTTAAATATATTTCTTTGCATTTTATTAAAGCAATAGCTCCAGGTTACTGGTTTTCAAACAGGGGTGATTTTTGCCCCAAGGGAACATTTGTCCATGTCTGGAATCAACTAGGGAGTGGGAGGGAGAATGCTACTGGCAAATGGTAGTGCCTGTGCCTGGGATGCTGCTAAACATACTCTGAGGCACAGGGAAGCTGCCTGCAACAAGAATTTAAGAGCCCAAACGTCAACACTGCCAAGGTTGACTAATCCTGTTCTCAGGATGACATTATACATCTTAAAGATATCTTAAATATCTTTAACATTTATCTTTAATTAAATATTATAATTTACATCTTTAACTTAAATATGATAACACTTCTATTTATTTATATTTACCTTATATATTTATACTTATAAATAAAATTACATTTACTTAAATATTAGCCTACATTATATAAAATGTAAAACACTTGCCAACTCTTTAGGTTTATGTATCCACTCAGCCATTCCAGACTAAATTCTGACGCTATTGCTTCCAGGTGTAGTCTATCTACACACATGAACAGTACAAAGGCAGTGTTTTAATTTTTGCTTTTGTCTTCTTTTTATTTTAAGCTTACTTTTTCTTACCTTAGTAGTTTCTACAACTGTTTTAAAATCCTTGTGTGATAATTTGAACTTCTGAGTCATCCTGGGGTCAGTAATTGTTGGTCATTTTTTCTCAGGGGGAGTGGGTGACATTATCCTGGTTCAACTTTGGATTGTATCCTAGACATCTGAGATACACTGAGGAAACATACATGCTCCACATAGGCATCGTATGCTATGCCTTTGGAGAATGTTGAAGTTTTGTTTTAGCAGGCAAATAATTTGGTAAGACTTATCTGCAAACTCTAGCACTGTGATGCAAGGCAGCTCAGCTCTGTGGCCAAACTGCCCCCAAGTCAGCCAGAGACTGGAGGCAGTATGCAGGATCAAGGATCCCCTTCTATGGCCAATTCCTGTCCAGAATTCGGCACTCCTCTCCTGCATCTCTGGCTGCCCTAGGCTCCCTCCCTGGCTTTTCCCACCAGAGAGAAAGAGGGCTTTCTACTAGAATGTTAGCTGCTTCACATCAATAATGCCACAACCATGCTACCCTCAGGACAAAGCCCACCCACACATGCAAACACAGGAAACTCATTGTGCCATTCACTTCCTCTAAATATTGACTCCCTTTAAAATATGCTGGTTTTTGTTTACTAACCAGGTAGTTTTGGGTAGATGATTCCACTGTCGTTGATATCTGCAGAAGGGCTTGTGAGATAGGATCTACTCAACCAGAACCAGAAGCAAAACCTAATCATCGCCTTGTGCATATAAAATTTCTAAAGTGCTAGCAGAAGGAATACAGATAAGCTATATGTGTATTTCAGCAAAGAATCTGAAATAATCTTTCTGGATAATTCTTGAATAACAGCATGCTAGAAGTGGAAGAATTCTTGAGATCATTTTGTTCAACACTTTTTCATTCTGCCAACAAGGAAATAAGCTCCTAGCAAGTGTTAAGCCATCAATAATGTATCTGGGATACAACACAAAGTATCTTTACAGCTATGTTTTTATTCTTTCTTTTCAATACCACATCTTTGGGACTAATGGAACTTAAAAAAAAAATTCCTGCATGAGAATATAAAATCCCTTTCCTTTCTCACTTGGCTGCTATACCTTTGCTCTTTAAATTCCATGGTTCCTTATCCCTTTGTCTTGGGCCCCTCAATGCTCACTTATAGAGGGTATCATAAAAGTATGAGGAAGAAGAAAGAAGTAAACTAGCCAGAACAGGGGGGAAAGAACCTAATTTTAGCTACCTGGTCTGACTAACCCATATTAATAAAAGTTAACCCATAGAAACAAATGTGCTAGATGGTTCTTTGGTAGTATCTGAAGCACCCAGTGGATTCAATGGGTTCAATACAATTGTGACGATGGCTCAGAACCTTATTACTAGACATGAAGTTGTTTCTAAGGAGACACGTCCAACAATTAACTCACAATATGCCAGGACTACTTTTATGCACATATTAATGTTTTATCAATGTCATTTTCAAAATTTAAAAATATTTAGAATACATTAACCTTCTGGAAGAAAAGGCTTTTCAGCTGCAGCAGTGAACAAATCATACAAATCTCTGAATGTCAGAGACTGCGATATGAACAACTAATAGAAACATCTTTTAGGCACAGGTAAGACAACTTCACTTGATCTCTCTTCAAAGGAAAGTGATCATTCTCACAAATGAGATAAAATGCTGCGTTGTTTCTAATTACCCATAATTACCAAACATTAACTCACAGCTGAAGAGTAGAGTTCAAACTCTTGCTCAGGAAGGAAGGAATGCCAGCCATCTTCTATCACCTCAAACATGGGCCGGTAGAAGAAAGGATACATCAGAGTGACAGAGTCCAAGGTAGACAATGCCTAGTGACAGAAAGAAAAAAGAAACATGCCATAACTTCAGCACATTCTAACTGAAGAAATGGGAGCAAGCACATGCCTCGCCTAATTATAATACACACCCATTACAGCTCTCTAACTTTTTACTTATAGACATAGTGATAGTCTTACTGAGCCAATTTCCATGTTTCCAGCATCTAATAAAGCACCTGATATACAACATTCATCCAATACGTATTGTTGAATGAAAAAAAAAAAAGAAAAACTTTGCACACAATGGCACAATTTTCTAGGAGAAAATGAAACTACTCTTCATACAATTTAATAAAGTTTAATAAAAAGACCCAAGAACTTCTAGGGATCAGAGAACAAAGAGTTTTGAGTTATTCAGTGAGGTCTTGGCTAAAATCCATTACTAGCTATTTAAACATATGTAAATTATTTATTTGTTTGTTTTGTATGTAAATTATTTATAATGAGTGCCTTATAGTAAGTGCAAACAAAAATGATAAAGCTCAGTGGCCAAAACTCAGTCAAGAGACAGACCACTGGACTCAGGTTCCAAATCTAGCTGTGCAGTAGCAGGTAAGAAGTGGGCAAGTCCATTTATCTCTACACCTCAATTGCTCAACTGTAACAAGGGAGAAATAACAATACCCAGGGGCCCTGTAAGGTTACCGGCAGCATTAAGAGAGATCACATATGCAACAAGCATACATGCAATGCTCCTGGCACATAAGGAAACAAAATGTAATTTTAGTTATCATATGTGAGGAAATTCAATCAATATTCATTTCCTCCATCTTAGAACCAATATGCCAATTAGTGAGGTATTTTCATATCTTTATGCTACAGTGGCCTGGTCTCAAGTTGGGGTAATAACTCTATGGCCCCCAAATGAGACTACATTCATCTGCAGTACTTGAATTTTGGGTAATAAACCAGGAAAACCTGAACAGATGGAGGGACAGACAGATGGAACATCATTCCTCGCCTGGCAGATACATCTTTTTGACAGGGGGTTACAGAAAAAAGCAATACTATGGCTGGGAAAGAAGGGCACCTAATCAATTAGCATAGTTCAAAGGGCAGTAAACTCACTTGGGGGAGGTTATGACAAGTCTCAGAACCCCACAGCTCTCAGAAAGAAGTTACCTCCCTCTAGGTCACAGTAGGGTCTGGCTCACAAAAGGATATGCCCATGATTTCCAATACTACACTGGATATGTAGTTCAGCAGTTTAACAAAAACCATCCCTGTCCAAAGTTATTTATAAACTTTGTCCAAAGGTATTTGTCTTTGGATGCTAACTGCACCAATAGAAGCACAAAAGCACATGCCCACATCTGTCCTAGGTCAGAGCTGCTTTAGTCAGTTCAACTGGTTTTTTTCTTTTCAGTGCTGAGGAAAAAATCCTGGGCCTTGCACATGGCAGCTGCTATTTTAAATGTAAATCAACAACCACTCTGTAGGCAATAAGCATTCACATTTCTACTTGTGATTATGTTTTATGTCACTAGAGATAAGTCTTCTCCTTTAAACAAATTAATGCTAAAAGAACTGAAAACATTTCAATTCTAAAAGGCAGCTGAAACTCAGCAGGAAAAAAGCTTCATCATGCTTCTTTCTACAATTTAGAAAACCGAGTACTTGCCAGTTATTCTTCCAATGGAAGTCTATCTGTGGCAGCAGAATATTTTGGGGTAAGCAGACTCTTCTTGATTATAAAGAACAGGTAGAGGAAGCCTATGCTATTGAGGGACTCACTTATTACCCCTAAATTAAGATGTATGCAGCATGGAGGATCAGGGTTGGATGCCAGGCAAAGGCTGGTGGCCAGGTCTACTGCATGTATTTGCTATGCTATGAAAACATTCAATAGAGCACTCATTTTCAGAGGTCAAATTAGAAAGATAGCTTATTATTTATGACTTTTCAACCCTAAGAGTTTCTACACAATGAGTCAATTTCTAAAGAGTTCTGGGTAATATATACAACCATTTAGGCAACTGATTGGTGTCAGCTGCTATCAAAGCTAAGTGAATGCAATCAATAAGTGGGCAACAAGCTCTGCCCCTTTCTTCACCACTGGCAGCATCTCTAACACCCACCAGCCGGCCATCTCACAGCTCACTAGTCAGAGAGAGAACAATAAAAATGTGGATAGGTCAGTAAAAATCCAACCTCACATTTTCTAACACACACCCCCACCCCCCCACACACATTCATATTCTCTCCCCACCACCACCCACCACCCACCTCCTTTCCCCACCTTCTCTCTCCCTCTCTCTCAACTGAAGAGAGCAGGTGGCATTCCACTGCCCAAATAGTGGAACATAATTTCAACTTAATGCTCTGGAAGTTACAATGCTTTCTCACTCATGTTGAAGAATCTGGCCAAACCAGTGTCATGTTACTTTCAAATGACAACTGTGTAAAACAGTTCACTTCATCTTCTCATTTCCTTAAATATTTAAAGTTTAGCAAATGCACAAAAAAAGGTTACATGCCATTCACTCAGAATGGTAGCTTCTCTATTTCTCTAGTCTTATATCAAAAACAAGCAATGTATCCTACTACTTATAGATTTTTAAGAATTTCTCCCTTTTCTTCCTCTATAATTATCAAGAAAACAATATAAACCCAGAGCTAATTAATAAAATTTAGTGGCAATGATTTGGCCTAAAGTAACTTAAAACTTGAGTGCATACCCAATTTGGTTAGGATGAGGTGAAAATAATATAAGCTCTTCAACTGAAATTTAAATTATTCAAGTAAAATTTCTATTACTTGTGATCTGAACCAATGTTCAATATTCTTTAAGTAAATACAAAGCAAACACATCCTGTTGTAAGCAAACTGATGAAAATGAATGTAAACGGAAAAGTAAAGGGAAATTCATTTACTAAAAAACAAGACTACAACCACAGGTGATAGTGACTTGCTTTAGTCGTGAGGATCTGTTGCAGTGATGTGGACTTATTATACACAACTGAATGGTACCTGTAGACATGTTTAAGACAGTAAATATTATATGGATATTTTTCCCACAAATTCTTACCATTAAACTTCTGTAAATGACAGAAGGCACTCAAATGGTAGCTATATTCACACATATTATACTAAGCACTCCACAAAAATCAACTAATAACATTCTTACAACCTTAAAAGTTAGGAAATATTATTCTCCTTTTACAAAAAAGTAAAAAACTAGTTGTCAGAGAGATTAAAAACTTTGCCCATGGTCATAAGCTACCAAGCAATAAAGTCAAGAATCAAACTGTATTATAACAAGAATCATATTACATTATTAATATTTCTATCCAAAGGTATAGGGTTGTATCTATTACAAAAGATATACTAATATATTAAGAAAAAAATCTGTGTGTAGTTACTTTCCTGGAAGAGAAAAAAGGAAACACTCTCATTAATGGTTCTCAATGTTTGAGGAAGCCCTCAGAAGGCGGGGGAATGGTGTGAGTCAATGGGGGCTTCTACATCCCCCAATACATAGTCACTGTAATGTGACCCAAATCAATTCTAGCTGTTATTTATTTTATTGGCTTAAAATTCCACATATGATGCTATTTGAAAAAAAAAAACCCTTTGGAGCATCAAAAAAAAAGTTGATCAACTGTCTTTGATTCAGAGAAAAATATTAAGATTTAAATAATAAACATGGGGGCTGGGGATGTGGCTCAAGCGGTAGCGCGCT